ACATCTGCAGAATTTAGGAAATATTTATTATATTTTTATACAAGTCCAAAATACAAACCCTTAGTGCTATTGATGCAATCAGTAACATTATTGACGATTACTCCAGTTCTACTTTAAAGTTGTAGTAGAAATTCTTTAATTCGACTGATATTAACAAAGTCAAAAAAGGAATTCCAATTATGGCTTTTCTGAAGATCTAATTCATAATATTCAAACAACAGTCCTGTAGTATGCCTGTTGTTCATTCAAATGAGATTGTCTTGAGTGAACTTACCTGTTAGTGCATGGGATAACATGTGATAAATTGCAGTTCACATGTCCAAACTACTCTTCCGCTATGTAAATACAGGCAGTAATTCAAAACATAATTACCAATAGAGCAAAAATGGATTACTTTGGGGAAACCTATTCAATCATCTTTAAATACATGCTTTCTCCTTGTTTTTCCCTGACTTATGTAAAGCTGTGTCTGTAACTTCTCTTCAGTCTCCACAATGATAACTGAACCGCATACCGTTACATGAAAATGTAATCACGGAGAATCCCGGGTGAAAAAAAAAAAAATATATATATACATATAAAATTTACAACCACAACAAGTCTCTCTTATTTTTAGCCAGTTGCACAGGCCATCCTGCATGTAAGTCACCACCATCAGTGGCTTAGACGATCCAGGCTGCAGGTCATTACCGGACTAGCCTAATGAGGAAAAGTGTCTTTCTTGGTAAATAGAAAACTGAGTTATTCAGCTTAAGGTGGTTCTAGTCATCAAGGTGGTTCTCACCTTCCTATTGTTACACCTCAGCTGTGTCAATCTTGTGCTTTAATTTCTTGGAAGTGGAGTGAAGAAAATGAGGAAACACCTGTTTCATATTTAATTTATTTTCAATTATAAAGCAATTAAACATTGTTTAGCTGTACACCACCTACTTCAGAAAGAATGCTTTCTGAACTACAAAACACTACTGCATGAAACCCAAAGGGATCTACATAAATGGAAAAACATACCATGCTCATGGATAGGCAGACTCGACACTGCGAAAATGACAATCCTACCTAAAGCAATTTACAAATACAATGCAATCTCGATCCAAATACCAACAACATTCTTCAAAGAGATGGAAAAACTAATCATTATATGGAAAAGGAAGAAGCCCCGAATTAGTAAAGCACTACTGAAGAAGAAGAATAAAGTTGGAGGACTCACACTACCTGACTTCAGAACCTACTATACAGCTACAGTAGTCAAAACAGCCTGCTACTGGTACAACGACAGATACATTGACCGATGGAACACAATTGA